ATCGCCCAGGCTGGAGTGCAGTGGTGCGATCTCAGCTCACTACAACCTCCGCCTCCTGCCTCAGCCTCCTGAGTAACTGGGATTACAGGTGTGCGCCACCATGCCCGGCTAATTTTTGTATTTTTAGTAGAGATGGGGTTTTACCATTTTGGTCAGGCTGCTCTCTAACTCCTGACCTTGTGATTCACCCGCCTTGTCCTCCCAAAGTCCTGGGATTACAGGTGTGAACCACTGCGCCCGGCCAGTTTTTTTCTTTATGTTTACTTTTCTGCTGTTTGAATATGATATGCCTAGGTATAGTTATTTTTTGGCATTTATCCTTCTTGGTGTTTTCTGATATTGCTGGATCTGGGGTTTGGTATCTCGTTTTAATTTGTGGACATTCTTAGTCATTACTTCAAATGTTCCTTTTCTTCCTTTCTCCCTTTCTTCTTCTGGTGTTCTCATCACACATATGTTACACCTTTCACAGTTGTCCACAGTTTTTGGATAGCCTACGGTTTTTTGTTTTTGTTTTTGTTTTTCCGTTTTTTTCCCCTTTGCTTTCTGTTTTTGAATCTTTTATAAATTATTTCCTCAGCTATGTCCAGTATACCAATGAGTCCATCAAAGGCGTTATTCATTTCTATCAGTGTTTTTGATCTTTAGAATTTTTTATTCTTTTAGAATTTTCATCTCTCTGTTTATAATGCCCGTCTGTTCTTGTATGCTGCCTGCTTTATCTGAGCCCTTAGCCTGCTAATTATAGTTGTTTTACATTCCCATTCTGATAATTCCAACTTCCTTGCCATGTCTGAGTCTGATTCTGATGCTTGCTCTGTCTCTTGCAGTTTTAGTTTTTGCCTCATTAATTTTGATGTTGTGTGTTAGGTGCATACACATTGAGGATTGTTAGGGCATCTTTAAGAATTGGCCCCTTTACCATTATGTAATGCCCTTCTTTATCCCTGATAATTTTCCTTGCACTGATATCTGTTCTATATAGAACTAGTATAGCTTCTTCTGCTTTCCTTTGATAAGTTTTAGTATGGTATATCTTTCTGCATCTTTTTATTTTTAGCCTATATGTGGCTTTACATTTAAAGTGTGTTTCTCATAGACAGCATATAGTTGGGTCTTGTTTTTTGATCACTCTGACAGTCTGTTTTGTGCCTTTTAGTATGCCTTGTAATTTTTTTCTTGATAGCTGGACATGATTTACTGGGTAAAGGGAACTGCTGTAAATAGACCATTAGTAACATGTTGGTAAGCTGTGGGGGAAGGTGAATCCTGTGAGGAAGTCTCATTCTTTTGATGAGCCTGTGTGTCTGGATTGTGAATTCCACAAGTGCTTCTCAGTCTTCCTCACCCTGCCTCTTAGGTATGACCACAAGTTAGAGTGGATATTTTCCTTCCCTCTGTGAGTTATTCCCAGACAAAGTTCCAATAGCTTAGACTCTGATAACATAGTGTCTCTTGAGGGCAGGCCTTGGAAAGAACAACACGTTCTGGCACATTTCCAAGTGGTTCCTTTTCCTTCCCCTCTGCCAGAAGCAAGAGTGGATTTTTCACTGATACTTTAAGAATCTTTTGAACTCCGGGAAGTAAAACTCACAAAAGCATAGGGGCCCCTATGACTGGGCACCCCTGGAATTTTTAACTCTAAAACTGTCCATGCTGAGCACTTGTCCATTACAGTTTAGGCTTTCCTGCCCTATGCTGGTTACTCAAGGGGTTCCTGCCTGTGAATTTCTGCTCCAGTAAGTTGTGATTCTCAGTGTTTGCCCCTCTCTCTCTCCAATATGGGGGCAACAAAGCTGCCTTGTGACCTTACTTCTCTGATGGATCTAAGAAAAATCATTCATTCTTTTAGTCTGTTACATTTTTACTTGTTAGGATGGAATGGCAACTTCCAAGCTCTTTACATGCCAGGCTGGAAGGCAGCCAGGAGTCTCAGTGCACGTTTCTGAGACATCGTTATTGGGGTATGTAATTCCCCAGTAGGTACCATAACATTTGCGTGTCATAAAATTCACCCATTGTAAGTGTACAGCTCAATACTTTTTAGTAAATTTAGAGAATTGTGTAACAACCAACAGTCGCCACAAGAAGCTTAGAACATTTTCATCATCCCAGAAAGTCCCTTTGTGCCCATTTGGGATCCCTGCTTCTGCCACCAGTCCTAGGCAACCACTGATGTACTTTCTGTCTCTATAAATGTGCCCCTTTTTGGGATATTACATATAAATGGAATCATACAATATGCAGTCTTTTTGTCTGGCTTCTGTTGTTCAGCTTAATGGTTTTGATATTTATTCGTGTTGTAGCATACATCTCAATGCAATTTTAAAGCCCCAAATCAAGATACAATAACTGCTTTCTAGTTATTAATACCTATTTAACCAGATTGGAAATAAGACAATATTCAAATGAACCTTTCTATGAGAATGCCAACTTGTCTATTACACATGAAACGTGATGACTGGTCTACAGATCATACTCACAAGCTCTTGGTTAGCCGACTGACCTGTAAGAGTGATTTTAAAATTATAAAGTTTTACCAACAGAACTATATTTTGAAATAGGTTATAGATACACTCATATTGATTAATTTCAGTAGGTGATAGAAATAAACGAATGAGCACAGTTGATGTTAGGACACATCATGTTCAAATTTGCATAAGTGGCTTCAATTTCTTCCTGAGAAATCTAATTAACTTTCCCAAACAAATGGAATAGTTAATGTCTGATTTTTCTTAAAGCCAGTTTGAAAGTTCCAAAGCTGTCATGGTTTTATCATTGTAAAAAGTTTGAAATTCACAGACTGTTCATGTATATAAATTACTGTACTTACAAATTATCCTCGAGTCTCTTCAAGGATTCCAAAACTAATGAATGATTACTGTCTAAGGAGCAGGATCCAAAACAATTTAGGGCTGAAATATATCTAATTTTCATAACCCAGTCATTATGTAGCTTCCTTTTAACACTGGGGATTAAGAAAAGGCAGGGGAGATTTATGTTAAACACACAAACGTATAATGTAAGTTTCTATTCAGCAGTTTATTTTGACTTTAACTGAATTGTAACTGAATTGTGCTAAACCCGAATGTAGAATACAGCCCAATGCATTATAACACTTTTTATTTTTATTTATTTATTTAGTTAGTTAGTTAGAGACGGAGTCTTGCTCTCTCACCTAGGCTGGAGTGTGCAGTGGTGTGATCTCAGCTCACTGCAACCTCTACCTCCTGGGTTCAAGCAATTCTCTTGCCTCAGCCTCCCAAGTAGCTGGAATTACAGATGTGCACCACCATGCCTGGCTAATTTTGTATTTTTAGTAGAGACAGGATTTCATGATGTTTGCTAGGCTGGTCTCAAACTCCTGACCTCAGGTGATCTGCCTGCCTCGGCCTCCCAAAGTACTGGGATTACAGGCGTGAGCCATTGCACCCGGCCCACTTTTAACTGTTTATTTATAATCAAGCATACTTAAAATGGAAAAGTAACTTTAAAAGACTCATCAAAATTTGAGCTGTGAATTCAGAATTAAAAGAATAATCTAGAAGAATCCCAATTCAATAATGGCACTATTTTATTTTACTAGAAAATTTCTAATCATCCAAATGGAGCAGTATGCTTCATATTCTTTTATATCTTATTTGAATCAATTCATTTGAAAATATATTTATATTTTCCATTAATACTTTTCAAACTGAAGTACTGGGAAATGTATAATCTCAGTTCACTGGTGAAGCTGAGTGGGGGATAGTGATCATATTCCTTATCAGAGTGTTGGCCATCAGTTCACAAAACATTTGAATGTGGGGCTTAAGGTTACAGACAAAACCTCTGCCTCAAAATTCTTGTCTTCATGATGTTATATTTACCCATATTTAATGGCTTGTCTCCTCATTCAAATTTATTGAACACCTGTTGCCTCCCAGGTACTAAGGACACAAGGATGATTAAGGTAAAAAGTAGTGTCACCAAGTTGCTTAAATTCTAGTTGAGGAATAGAAATGTTTATAGCTCAAGGCATGAACGTTCTGCAATATGACATTAAACCGAGTGGAGAGGGAGCTTTCTGTTCTCATGCCAGATATGTTTGAACTCTGGATGCTGGCTACTTCTTTCTTCAATTTGTATAATGGTTTGCATATCAGTGTTTACTACCCCCACATCCACCCATTCAACAAGAATGAATTCTACAGATGTCAGCTGCAGGAAAACTTGTATGATAGCACCAGAATTTAATTATCTCTTTGGCCTTAATACTTTTCATTCTGGTGAGGTTTGAAGATCTCTTGGTGTAAGAAAATGCCGCAACACTCAGCCTATACATACACCACAGTCTTGAATGATTTGAATCATCTGCATGATTAAATCATCTACATGAATATAATAACCACAAGAACTAACGTGAATTAGCATTCCTTTAACTGTACCCAGATTCCTTAACTTCCTCAGATTTCTAAACCTCATTTTTCACATGTCTATCTAATGAAAACAGGGATTGAAAAACGAGCCATGGAATTTTCTGACAGGTGGCACACATATTAATAAAAAGCAGATTCATGTCTCAGCATCTGTTCTATGAGTCTAGCATAACTAGAATGAAATGCTTAATAGTATATAGAGCAACACGTCACATATTGGGGAAGCCCTCCATCAGGTCTAATTCTCTGTTGGGACTAAGCAATACTGCTTACGTGTGAAAGATAGAAAATGGAGCCAGTTAATTTTATTGTGTCATTCTTAGGGTTCCAGCAACGGGACTAGTCCTAATTCCATGGAGTATCAGTTGTAATGAGCTTTTAATTGCATATTCTAACTCTGGGATAAGTATTTGTTACATAACAAAGTATAATCCATTTTTTAATGTCTTTATAAAGAAAAAATATTCATTGTACAAAATTTAGAAAGCAAATAAAATTTTTAAAATCACCTCTTTGAAGTCCTATAGAAATCATTTATTAAACTTTTGGATATTTATACTCAATATTTTTCTTTTTTTTATTAATTAATTTTTTTAAAGTATACTTTATGTTCTAGGGTACATGTGCACTACGTACAGGTTTGTTACATATGTATACATGTGCCATGTTGGTGTGCTGCACCCATTAACTCGTCATTTACATTAGGTATATCTCCTAATGCTATCCCTCCCCCCCCCCTCTGCACAGGATCCGGTGTGTGATGATCCCCTTCCTGCGTCCAAGTGTTCTCATTGTTCAATTCCCACCTATAAGTGAGAACATGCAGTGTTTGGTTTTCTGTTCTTGCGATAGTTTGCTGAGAATGATGGTTTCCAGCTGCATCCGTGTCCCTACAAAGGACACGAACTCATCCTTTTTTATGGCTGCATAGTATTCCATGGTGTATATGTGCCACATTTTCTTAATCCAGTCTGTCATTGATAGACATTTGGGTTGATTCCAAGTCTTTGCTATTGTGAATAGTGCTGCAGTAAACATACGTGTGCATGTGTCTTTATGGCAGCATGATTTATAATCCTTTGGGTATATTCCCAGTAATGGGATGGCTGGGTCATATGGTATTTCTAGTTCTAGATCCTTGAGGAATCGCCACACTGTTTTCCACAATGGTTGAACTAGTTTACAGTCCCACCAAGAGTGTAAAAGTGTTTCTATTTCTCCACATCCTCTCCAGCACCTGTTGTTTCCTGACTTTTTAATGATTGCCATTCTAACTGGTGTGAGATGGTATCTGACTGTGATTTTGATTTGCATTTCTCTGATGGCGAGTGATGATGAGCATTTTTTCATATGTCTGTTGGCTGCATAAATATCTTCTTTTGAGAAGTGTCTGTTTATACTCAATATTTTTCTAAGTAGAAATACACACACATATATACATTTATAAGATTGGATTCATATATACATAAAAATTAATTAAATTAAAATTTTTTTATCCCCCAAATTCATATGTTGAAAGATAAATCATTTTTACTTGACATTATGTCATAAACCCTTTTCATACTATTAAATATTTTTCAAAACAATTAAATGGGTATATGACATATAGTTATACTATGATTTGCTGAACATCCTTGAAATCTGAATGTATTTTAGGTGTCAGACAAAAAATGTATTTTATATATAAATATATATCATTTATGTTTTTATTATATATTTATATATCTGAATTATTTATGTAAATGATTAATCATCTAAATTAATCATTCCCCTTTTGTTGGACACTAGATAATTTACCATCAGAAATAATGCTGTGGGCCAGGCGCAGTGGCTCAAGCCTGTAATCCCAGCACTTTGGGAGGCCGAGGCGGGCAGATCACGAGGTCAGGAGTTTGAGACCAGCCTGACCAATATAGTGAAACCCCGTTGCTACTAAAAATACAAAAATTAGCTGGGCATGGCGGCACGTACCTGTAATCAGCTACTCAGGAGGCTGAGGCAGGAGAATCTCTTGAACCCAGGAGGCGGAGGTTGCAGTGAGCTGAGACTGCGCCACTGCGCTCCAGCCTGGGTGACGGAGTGAGACTCCATCAAAAAAGGAAAGGAAAGAGAGGGGAGGGGAGAATACGGGAGGGGAGGGGAGGGGGAAGCTGTGATAACCATACTTAGATTTTTGAAGATAGGGATACCAGGTCCCAGTGTATAAATGGTTATGAAGGCACTTGATGCAGCTTCCCAGATTCTTTCCGAAAAGGTGGATCCAGTTCATACTTTTACCACCAACAGTGTGAGAACGCCCAGGTCACAGCATCTTCCCCATTTTTAATCATTTCTGATTTTATAAGTGAGAAATTGTATCTGATTTTAAGTTGCACTTCTTTGATAAATAAGGAAGACCATTTAACATAAAATTTAGGTTTTTCAGCTAATAAAAGTAATATATACCTTTCTCAAAAAGTTTAAAGACATTGCTGTTATAAGGAAGACAATAATTATCAGTTGGGGATAACTATTGTTGGCATTTTTTTGTGATGATCACTTTGAAATGTTTATTGACCATTTGTACTGTGTGCACGTTTGTGAGTTACATGTTCATGACCTTTGCTCATTTTTCTCTTCGAGGATTATATCTTTTAATTGAACTCTACGCCCCAATACAACTATCAACCCATTGTCTGTCATATTTGTCACAAATGTTTATTCCAGTTTGCTTTTAAAATACTATCTTTTGATGTCCAGAGGTTTTATTTTGTATATAGTCAAATCTATGACACTTTTTCTTTGAATTCTACATCCATTGCTTTTATATTTAGAATGTTTCCCATATTCAAGTGCTTGTAACTAGTCACATATATTTTTATAGTTTTTTTCATGATTTAATTTTTTCATTTAACTTTTCAATCTACTCAAGTACCTGTAAGTTTTAGTTGTCAATAGCACTTAAATTAGGAGCTATTACACTGACAGTTTCTTGGGCCAGAAGCATTTCACTGTGTGTGTGTGCATGTGTGTGTGTATATATGAACAATGACTATACTTAATTTTTTATATTACTTTAATTTTTCTTAATTTCTTATTTTCTATAATTTAAGTCTCATTTTTCACTTTTCACCATAAAGCTTACTTGCAAAAGACTGTAATTATTAAAAGAATTAAATTAGCCATATGATACCCTTACCTTTTAAAGTTCTTTGAGTCTAAGACCTGATTTTGTAATTTTCTTTTGGATTTTGCCTGCTTTATTCCAAAGTCATCACTGTTGACTGTGAATCTGTTCACAAAACCCCCATCATCCCCCAAGAGGATGTCATCTCGGCAGAGATGGTCAGGCAAAGGCACCACACACACACACAGGAGGCAGTGATCCATTGGCTTTATGACAAAATAATTTTCCTAGAAACAGAAAAATGACTTTAATGAATTGCTACTTTGCTCTATTCAATAAATATCTCCCCTATTATTTGACAAAAATTTCACTTTCCAATGTTTTTTATTGTAGATACTCCTATCGTACAAGATAATTTGAGAGAGGGAAAAAAAACAGTTAACCAAATAAAAGTTATAGAACACTCGCTGTTATTTTGGGTGTTTTGTGGAGAAAGGAGTAGAGTGCCTACCCCTGGGCCAATAAGTAATGAGATTTTTCTGATGCGTGACTGTAAATGACCCTTTTTTGGATTTATAAGAAAATATTAAAGTAAGCATAACAAGATTCAGGTGTTACCAGACTATTGACATAAAACTGGGTGGCAAACAGGAAAATCAAATATCAAAGTCCCAAGGAGTCACCAGAAGAAAAATTATCCTACCATCCAAGTTTATTCAGAAATATTTAGCATGTGTCAAGCTGATTTTGTACTATTGAACGGGGCCACTAAGCTATACAGCTATTGCTCTTCCGTGATTCAGTCTCTATAAATTTGTTCAGTCAACAAACATTTATCTATATATTTCCTTCTGTGTGCCAAGAACTACTGCAGCACGACTGTGCAATGGTGAACAGGACAGTTTCTGACTTTGTAGAGCTACCAGTCTGGTAGAAGTGCATTTAAGGAAACAAATCACAGTGCTCTGATACACAGTGACTGAGAAGGCCACAACAGGTCCCATGGCCAAAGAAAGTGACATTTGATCTGGGGCCTGAATTGGTTGAGAGGAAGATTAAGAGGAGGTTGAGAGGAGGGAGTCTAGCAGGAGAGTGCAATCAGTCTTCACCAAACTAGAAAAAAAATTCCTAAAATTCATATGGAGCCAAAAAAGAGCCTGCATAGCCAAAGCAAAACTAAGCAAAAAGAACAAATCTGGAGGCATCACACTCTCTCTTTTCAAACTATACTATAAGGCCATAGTCACTAAAAATAGCATGGTGCTGGTATAAAAATAGGCACATAGACCAATGGAACAGAATAGAGAACCCAGAAATAAACCCAAATACTTACAGCCAACTTATCTTCAACAAAGCAAACAAAAACATTAAGTGGGAAAAGGACACCCTATTCAACAAATGGTGCTGGAATAATTGGCAAGTCACACATAGGAGAATGAAACTGGATCCTCATCCCTCATCTTATACAAAAATCAACTCACGATGGATCAAGGACTTAAATCTAAGACCTGAAACTATAAAAATTCTAGAAGATAACATTGGAAAAACCTTTCTAGACATTGGCTTAGGCAAGGATTTCATGACCAAGAATCCAAGAGCAAATGCAATAAAAAGAAAGATAAATAGCTGGGACTTAATTAAACTAAGGAGATTTTGCACAGCAAAAAGAAGCCAGCAGAGTAAACAGACAACCCACAGAGTGGGAGAAAATCTTCACAATCTATACATCTGACAAAGGACTAATATCCAGAATCTACAAGGAACTAAAACAAATTAGCAAGAAAAAACAAACAATCCCATCAAAAAGTGGGCTAAGGACATGAATAGACAGTTCTCAAAAGAAGATATACAAATGGCCAACAAAAATATGGAAAAAAATGCGCAGCATCATTAATGATCAGGAAAAATGCAAATCAAAACCACAATATGATACCATCTTACTCCTGAAAGAATGGCTGTAATCAAAAACTCAAAAAATAATAGATGTTGGTGTGGATGCAGTGAAAAGGGAACCCTTCTACACTGCTGGTGGGAATGTAAACTAGTACAACCACTGTGGAAAACAGTGTGGAGATTCCTTAAAGAACTAAAAGTAAAACTACCATTGGATCCAGCAGTCCCACTACCAGATATCTACTCAGAGGAAAAGAAGTCCTTATATGTAAAAGCTACTTGCTCACTCATGTTTCTAGCAGCACAATTCACAACTGCAAAAATGTGAAACCAACCCAAATGCCCATCAGTCAACGAGTGGATAAAGAAACTGTGGTATATATGTATACACAATGGAATACTACTTAGCCATAAAAATGGATGAATTAATGGCATTCACAGCAACCTGGATGGAACTGGAGACTATTATTGTAAGTGAAGTAACTCAGGAGTGGAAAATCAAACATCATATATTCTCACTCATAAGAGGGAGCTAAGCTATGAGGATGCAAAGGCGTAAAAATGACACAATGGACTTTGGGGACTCCGGGGAAAAGGGTGGGAAGGGGGTAAGGGATAAAAGACTACAAATTGGGTTCAGTACATACTGTTTGGGAGATGGGTACACCAAAATCTCACAAATCACCACTAAAGAGCTTACTCATGTAACCAGATACCACCTGTGATCCCCAAACCTATGGAAATAAAAAAGTTTAAACAATTTTTAAAGAAAGAGAGAGGAGGCTGTAGAACCGTGTCGTGGCCGAGACAGGAGGGGAGGGCGTGTCAAATGCAAGGATATTTTGCCTTCAGAGAGAGGACGAAAGTAAGGATGTGGTTTCCAGTTAAATCTGTAGGTGAAAGCACTGGAATTTGAAAGAGGACAAGTCTGATAGTAGACTCAGTTTTTTGCAGGAAAATAGAGAACAAGTCCTTATACTACAGGGAGAAGCCTGAGAAGAATATTGAAATTGTGGATGACTTACAAGAAATGGGCCAGTGAGTTGGTTAGGGCCAGAAAGAGATTGATGGAAGCCACTGAGAGCCCAGCTGAGTCTGCAGACCCCAAGTTTGTAATTGTGCCAAATAGCACTGTTTGGTTCTTTTCCATCAGTGCTTAGCCACTGTAAAGGAGCAGAGAAGGGCTAGGGCATCTCTCCAGTTTGAAGGACAAATATTGAAGAGAATGAAGGGTGAGGCTGACCACCTCAGATGACACCCCCAGAGGGTGCAGACCAGAAGGGAAGAAGAGAAGAGTTGAGAGGGAGTGAAGACTGGAACGTGATGTTTTCAAGGAACTAGAGGCGTCTATGGGATTGAAAAGCAAGAGTGGAAACAGAACAGCGTTAGGAGAAGAGGTTATGATCAAAGTTCAGGCTCTTGGAGTTTAGGGGTTTGGAAATTAATAAACCTGGTCTATAACACAGCACATCATAAAGTAACATTGACCAAGAAGCTGCCATCTTTAAAATTACTCTGGCATCACTAGTTGGTTACAACATTGTGAACAAATAGCAAAAGAAAGTTAGTTTTTTACCAAGGCTAGGAACAAGCAAGGCATGAAGGAAGGTTAATTTATTTCTTAATCATCCATGTCCTTCAAAGTCAGTCTGCTTCCTGAAGATATTTTTAAATAGCCTCGGTGCTCAGTGATCTCACGCTCCCTGAGTCCCTGTTGCACATATAATTTGCTGTATCATCATATTATATATTATGTTTATTCATGAGGAACTTCAAGACTGAGTTTTGTTTGAGTGCAGAGAACATAATCGTTACTTCTAAATGTCTGCAAATGCTCAATAAATACGATAGATTGGTTAAGCGGTAACATCTCAGCCACTGAAGGGCTGCCTCATTAGATGTTTTTGCCAGACTTAGACATTTGATTTTAGAAATTTTCTCACCTAATGAAGCTGGACTTGGGAGAAAAGATTTGAACTTGATAACATGAGTATACCCAAAGAAAGATAATACATGGATTCAGAGAAGGGCATAAAAGAAGAAAGGAATTACTCCCTCACTCAAAAACAACCCAACCCCCACTGAACTAAATATACACTAAATGGAAAGAATAGTCCCTTTTAATTACAGAATATACATGCTGAACTTGATCTAAGAGACTACTTACTTAAATCCTCTCATCTTATAGATGAAGAAACTGATGTTCGATAGAGAAAGTGGATTGCTCATACTGTACCACTACTGAAAAGACAATCTCATTTCTTTGAGTATTTCTCTTGGCACAATACCTGGCTGCTCCCTTGAGCTTTATAATCCCAGACAATAATGGTCCTTTCTGTTGTGGCTACGATTCGTTTCAGCTGCAAGAGGTAATCACACCCTGTAATCCAGGAGGTGTCCTGACAGAAAAGCAGAGAAGTGGGGGATATAATGCATTTCCTTCTATGACCTGGTGATGGTTAACAAAGGGCAGGTTAGTCACACTAAAAGCCCCATTTTGCTGCCTTGTTACAGAGAAGCCTTGCAGTACATCCTGTCTGAGCATCTTGGATACAGGCTCCCATCTTTTCCCCTTTCACTCTTACCCTGAGTGTCTCAGTACTATCAGCTAGAGAATGATTCAGTTAGCAATGGGATTGCTCCCTGGAAGCACACAGCAGTTCGTGGAGCATCTTTGTGCACTATTTACTGCTGTGAGGCCGCTTCTTCACATGGGCACTACGAGACTAGATTTAGGGCGCTGATTAAGCGAGCTCTCCAGCCCTGTCCCCATGCTAGAAAACAAAGACCTTAGTAATGACCTGGTCCATGATAAGTGGAGACCAAGGAGAATTTATTGTGTCCTACCTAAAGACACCAAGCTGGCATGGCTAGGAGCTGTAATATCAACAACACACTCCTTAACAGAAACAGAAGCTTCCATTTATGAGTGCTACATGCATTTCAGGCATGGACTCCAACATTCTGTAAAACCTGTTAGAAATTCCAGGGTTGGCTTTTTTTTTTTTTCTTTCCAGTTTAGGAAATGGAGGTTCAACAATGAGAACACTTGGACACAGGAAGGGGAACATCACACACCAGGGCCTGTTGTGGGGTGGGGGGAGTGGGGAAGGATAGCATTAGGAGATATACCTAATGTAAATGACGAGTTAATGGGTGCAGCACACCAACATGGCACATGTGTACATATGTAACAAACCTGCACATTGTGCACATGTACCCTAGTACATAAAGTATAATAATTAAAAAATGGAGGTTCAGAAGTTTACAGAGAATCCAGACTCCTTTGCCAGGAAGCATGGCAGCCTTCTTTGTAGTTCAGGGTATTCAGTGCGTGCAAGCAATGAAAGAGTCAAGCATTCTCCTAGCTCTCGTAAATCCATAATGAGATTCTGCAAGCAAGTCACTATAGCTTTACAACATCTGCTGCAATTACTATTCCGATTAGTGATGTGGATTAAATAAATTACAAAATTGTACTCAAACTTTTAATGTTGTATTCAACTTTAAAATAAAAATATTTTCTAATTATTTCCATGGGCTACCTCCTTGTTCTCACAACTTGGCTTGTATCCATTCTTTACCTTCTCTGATAGCAGATGCTCAGAAAAACTGAGAAGCTTTTAAATTGAAGCTTCCAAGGAGTGACCAGTTTCCAAGCAATTCTCTGCAGTCAGTTTAACTCCAGAAAGCAAGACCTGGGTCCTCTTTGCTGTTGCTCACGGCTTAGTTTTGATCCTAGCCAGTAAACATAAATTTATAATATAGGAAATATATATCCAGAGTCTATTCATTACTTCATTGAGATTTTAAGTAATTGTGAAGGAACCATCATCACAGCTCTAACCTTGACTTAATTAGGAATTTTTTAAGTGTACTTACTGTAACATTGGTGCTGGTCTGAACTCTCATCTATGAAAAAGGAAGAGAGTAATGAAATCTAGTTGACACTACAATTAAAGATGAAAATGCTGACTCTAAAACAACACAGAATCTTCTTGGTTTCATCTCAGCTGTCATTCTGCCCTCTGTAAGCCTCCTCCCTGTTTCTCCTTCTCCTGGAACAGCTAGCTCTGTGGAATGATGCGGCCTGTTTGCTGTGAGCAAGGCTTATCCCTCTGTGGCTCGTTGTTAAACCTGGTGACTGCGCTGTTAAGAGTCTTACACTTCACTAATCATTTTCTTCCTCCTTTATGCAAACTGCATCTTTTTTTTTTTTTTTAGTTGTTTGGAGCAACATTTGATGCCAAAAAATAGGAATGCAAAATAATCTAACAGCAATGGCAAGAGTAGTTACTAAATAGAGTGATTGAGAAAAACTACCATTTTTCATTTGAAGTTATCTGTCCAAGTTGAGACTTAAAAGAACATTTTACCCAGTGGGCCTCCTCTTTTATTCAATAAGCACCTGTTGAGTGAATATATATGCACTGGGTACTACACCAGTTAAGAACCACAGCTTTATCCCATGCAGAGAGCTAGTGTATACATGAGCAGCCTTTCCCACTCTTGTGGCATGGAAATTGCTCCCAAGATGAAGGCAAGTAGTTGAAGTATTTCAATGACCTTGTTTCTTTTACATGCTCAGATGGCCTTGAGAAATATCTAGGAAACAGTGGCCCAGAAGAAACGGATGATGTGAAACAGAGAAAGGAGATCAGAGAGATCACTAAAGCTGTTAGTCATGGCTACCCACAGGCTGCCTTTCATCGGAAGAGTTCAAAAAGGCTTTTCTAACCCGGGACTGACTTCTAGATGGGAAAAATACATCGCTGTAAGAAAACCGGTGAGTAGCAGACCAGAACACCTGTGGGTTCTGCTGCTCTTTCTCTATATATATCTTTAGTGGAAGTCACCTATTTAAAGTCCTCTCAGCTGCTTTAAAAGTTTCATAATCCTTATAGATATATTTTGAATTTTTATTAATAACATTTAATGTTTATAGCATCAAGAAAATCCTGAACTATATTTATTGTACTTCAGATACAGCCTAAATTATGAATTAATCCAAGATATTTGGAGTTGTTAAGGGCTACCTTTTAATAAATCACTCCTGTGACCTACACTTTCAGCTTAACTTTTCTCACAGGATACGTCATATTTGTAAGGCTTGCAACAATCAAAACAATATTTATTCCTGCTGTATCAAATCTCAAAATAATTAATTTTGGGCTGGACATGGCTCACTCCCATAATCCCAGCAATTTAGGAGGCCATGAGGTGGGAGGATGGCTTGAGACCACAAGTTCGAGACTAGCCTGGACAACACAGCGAGACCCTGTTTCTACAAAAAACAAAAACGAAACAAAACCATTAATTTCTTAGCCATCTTTTTCTCCAGTTACATTATCTTATAAAAAACATATGTGTTTGCACATTTGTGAGTATGCACGTGCCCATCTATAAGCTTTTGTGTGTATGTGCATGTTTGTAAAGCATCTGTGGAAATGTGATAATGTCACCTGACTTATTTCACGTCATTCTGAATATTTTAGTATGCACGTAATTATTTTCCTTCTCCTATTATTTTTTAGATACCATCTTAGTTCTATTTTTGAGGTAACAAAAGAGAAGGTAAATAATGCACCAAGAGAAAAAGATCGAGAAGATTTTTATATTTAAATGAGGCAAATTCATTTTTGTTTTCACATTATTTGTTTATTACAGCAATTGCCAACATTTACTGAGGAACTCTAATGATGCTAGGACTTCATTAGTATTAACTCAAAGAGCAAGAAGGAAGGTCTATGATTTTGGATGAGGAACCAGGGCATGCAGATATTAAATAACACACACAGCTCTAAGTGTTAGTGCGAGGCTGGAGCCCAGACTCCACGCCCACACTCTGCATCCCTCACTGCACCGCCTCCAGGGCCACACAGCCCCCACCTCTGACAGAATCTGGCTGTCTGTGACTTCAGCTTCGGAAAGATTCCCTGAACTGGAGATTACTGAAGAACTGAAAATTATGTGAAAAATTTTAATCACATAGTGATTATTTCAAAGATATTTTACTTGCATAAAGCTTGTTTCTAGTTGGAAATGAACTAATCATTAGGATTTTTAAAATAACACCAAAGATTTACCTTTTATTTTCATAGCAAAATATTATGTAGGGTATATTGTAACATATTCCATTAAAGTGAAAGTCCAAAACTTACAAATTTAGAAATGACATTGATAATAGCAAAGCCTTACATTCATGTAGGGATGTATTGTTCATAAAGTGTTTCTACACCCATTCTCTCATTTGACCTTCACTACAATCCTTTGAGGGAGGACAGGTTTTATTGTCCTCATTCTACAGATGTGAAAAAAAAAGAGATGTGAAAGATGTAAGTGACTCGCTAAGCTCCCTACTTAATGACATAATTAGTAAAACAGCGGGGCTGGAATTTGAGCAATTCATTTTTATTTCAAGTCCAAAGTTCCTGATGGGACCTTTTATTAATCACTTGGCTCATGAGTGTTTCTGATTTTAACTGAGACATTATCCAGGAGCATCTTTTAATTGTGTTGATGCCACATGGTTCGATATGACACCCTGAGGAACAATGCCAAATGCAGTCACCAGTTCCAAAGAATTGCCACAGGGCACAGCAGCCTCCTCATTACTAAATATTTGGGGTTTTTTTTTTTTGGAATAACTCTAAAATACAATTTATGGTTTCCGCTGTACCTGATACATATATATAATGCAGAGACAGACCAAGAGAGAGAAAAGGAAGGGAGGAGGGAGGAGGGAAGAAGGGAGGAGGGGAGGAAGAGAGGGAGGGAGGGAGGGAGGGAGGAAGGAAGGAAGGAAGGAAGGAAGGAAGGAAGGAAGGAAGGAAAGAGAGAGAGGGAGGGAGGGAGGAAGGAAGTAGGGAAGGAGGAAGGGAGAAAGGAAAGAAGGGAGGGGGGAAAGAAGGAAGAAGCGAGGGAGGAAGGAAGAGAGGAAAGAAGGAAGGAGGAAGGGAAGGAGGAAGGGAGAAAAAGAAGGAGGGAGGGAGGAAGGAAGGAAGAAAGGGAGGGAGGAAGGAAGAAAGGGAGGTAGGAAGGGAGGGAGGGAGGAAGGAAGGAAGGAAAGAAGGGAGGGAGGAAGGAAAGAAGAGAGGAGGGAGAGAGGAAGGAAGGAAAGAAGGAAGGAAGGAAGGAAGGAAGGGAAGGAGGGAGGAAGGGAGGGAAAGAGGGAGGGAGATAGAAATCCAAGCTTTTAAATTACCTGGTTATTGTAAAATGAATCCTTCAGTTAGAAAAAGAAAAAGAAATTACCTGGTTATTAAAAACTGTTATTAATCCTTTCTGAGTAGCTGTTATTAGTAAATCCAGGTGAGGTACCTTGACAATGCTCTTAATCACATCTCGTCTTCTACTACCTGTCAACAGCATAATATTAATTTCAACTTTCAGCAGTAAAGATGCTGAAACTCATTAGGTTTGTTTAAAAAAAAAATGATATGGCCAGACACAAGTGGCTCACTCCTGTAATCCCAGAATTTTGAGAGGCTGAGGAGGGTGGATTGTTCAAGTCCAGGAGTTTGATACCAGCCTGGGCAGCATGACAAAACTCATTTCTACCAAAAATACAAAATTAGCTGAGTGTGTTTGGTCATGCCTGTAGTCCCAGCTCCTCGGGAAGCTGAGGTGGGAGGATCTCTGGAGCCCAGGAGGTTGAGGTGCAGTGAGTTGTGATCGCACCACTGCACTCCAGCCTGGGTGACAGAGCCAGACCCTGTCTCAAAAAACAAAACAACAACAACAACAACAAAAGATACACAGCTTTTTTGCTAGAAAGCCCCAAGTTACTTAAAAATTAGAGTAAAACCATAAAACCCAGCAACCATTATGTTTTAATGATCCTCAGAGATACTAATTTGCATATATAGAGCTTTCTAACTAAATGTGGTGCATTAATTCCCAGAGAAAATGCAAGACACACACCCACCCACCCCCCACACATACACGTGCATGTGCATATTTCACAGAGAACACGTTTTCTAAACATCATTTGGAATCATTTCTTTTTTGAGATATTTCACATCTCTTAGGACTCCTTTCTTTGAACTCGCACCATTGTGATTTACACATGATAATACTATCTCAGGCTTTTCAGTATAAAAGAATGAAACTAGAGCTGTCATTAAGGCTTTAAAAAAAATGTGCCTTTTGACAAAAAAAAAAAAAGACTAGCTAGACACTTTCATGTTTCTATGGCCATGTCCTGAATGATAAAGCCATATATATAGAATTTCTTCCAGGGTACTTAATTTTTATAATTGCAAACTCTTAGGAAAGAAAGGCAGGTGAACAGGTGTCATACCCTAGTATTACCACCCTCATCCATGTATCTCAACAGAGAAGATATTGCCCCCAAATGGGTACAAATTAGTTCTTGGAGGGAACATGAATACATTTTACTCTTTTTGTGCAGAAAGTGCAGATATGCATGTAGTATATAATAGGATTCACTTAATAATTAATACCTGAGGCATTAAAATGGCATGGAGCAAGATAAGGCAGAGGGGAAGGCAATTAGGAGCAAAAAGTCTAAAGAGGCTCCGTAGGGGTCAGTAATTTAAAAAATAAAGATGGAGAAACACTGCCCTATTGCAAGCCACCATCATTCTCTTTGCTTCCACCCCGTCCACACTACAGACTATTTTAAATGCAGAAGCTAGAATAGAATATAAAGCATAACTCAGGTTACTCCTCTCCTCTATCCACAGCCCCCTTGTAGCTTTCTGCCTCATTCAGAAGCCTTCAGCACGTCTTACAAGTCCCAATACATCTGTCCCCACTCCCATTGTTGCCTCTCCAACCTTGGCTTCCACCACTGTCCCCACTACCTGAAATACATGGTTTTCTCTCTCACTTTCACCTTCTCAGTGGGGACTTCCCTGACCTCCCTGTCGAACAGCACGCTCCCGCTCTCAAACCACCTTCTGCTTCCCACATTCCTGCCTTATTTTCCCCACCACCTGCTTACTTTTTGTCCTATAGCATGTATTACCATCTGACATACTGGACATTTTACTTGTTTAATGTTTGTGGTTGTCTGCCTCTCCCTATTGGAATGTAAACTCCATGAGGTCAGGGATTTGTGTCTGTTTGTTCACTGCTGTGTCTCTAGCATTTGGAAAGGTATCTGGCCTACATAGTAGACTTTAACAAATACTTGTTGAATGATAAATGAATTATAGAATGCAACTGTCATCTAGAAAAAGACTTTCAAAGCTCTAACATAGGCTGCCAGCAACACTTCTCCCCTGCTCTGGGGCCCTCCTCAGCTCAATGTGGTGGCAGAAGGGATAGCCCTTTCATGTCTGTGTTTTTGTTTTTGTTTTTGCTTTCTAGTTCCCATGGCCAGAGGCCAGGCTCTGTTGAGGTCTGTGGTTGGGCTAAGGAAGAGTCAAGGATGAAGATGGGTTTGGCTCAGAAAGCATTCCAGGTGCTTTGTTTGTTTGATTGAGACAGTCTCGCCCTGTCACCGAGACTGGAGTGCAGTGGTGCCATCTCAGCTCACTGCAACCTCCACCTCTGGGGTTCAAGCGATTCTCCTGCCTCAGCCTCCCAAGTAGCTGGGACTACAGGTGCACACCACCATGGCTGGCTAATTTTTGCATTTTTAATAGAGATGGAGTTTCACCGTGTTGGCCAGGCTGGTCTTGAACTCCTGACCTCAGGTGATCCACCCACCTCGACCTCCCAAAGTGCCAGGATTACAGCCGTGACCCACCGTGCCCAGCCTCCAGGTGCTTTTTTAAGAGACATCACATTTGACCTTCATTTCAGAATATGGGAGGAAATGTTGGAAGACAGGAGTAGGTTTGAAGGTTTGTCTTCCCTCTTCCTGACCTCCTCCCACCATGGATGGGAGAAGGAGAAGAAAACCCAAGGTGTTAAGAGTGGAGAGGGATGGGAGGTCCTGGGTCCCAGGCTCAAAGTTGAAAATGAAGAACACATACATTGGAGACTTCCCAGACTGGGGACAATGCCCCTCCGTGACTGGCCCAAGCTCTCCAGAGATGTCAGATTAAACTTCTTTAAGATAATCACGGGTAGATGAGAGTGAATGGAAGAGTCACGTTTAGTGAAAACTCAAAAACTTAATTTGAAGAATACTTTAAAAGAAACGTGACTTCTTTTCCTGGAGCATGCATTATTGTGACATCATTGCAGAGAGTTTTCACTGGAAGTCTGAGTCTTTTTCAGGAAAATGTGAATTTTCTCCCATCACATTCTCTATTTAGTGTCCTTCAAAGCAATTATAATATTTCAATTTCAATAGTCATAGAGTTTCTTCTGATACTGCATATGAAACTCTCACCACCCCGACACCCAGTGATAAAGCATTGAACAAATACATAAAATGAAAAGTGATTCTATGGAAACATATAGTCCCAATATTTATTCTTGAGAAAAATATTAAAACTCATACTAATTTGGAAGAGAAAATTAAAATGTCACCTGAAATTAAAATTCGCCGTTTTCTAGACACAAAGAAAACCAAATTTTCTTCATCCAACTGGGAAGTAATAGGATCTTCTTCAGAGGAGAAGTATCCAAAGATCTGAAATCCCAAACAGCACATATAAATATGCACCATGCCTCAGAATTAACTGTAAAGTAACAGATTTCATGTTGGCTGAATTTAAAGTCTAATTAGTATTAACAGCCAGCACCTTGCTTTGTGACTGTCAGGGGTTCCCTATACCAGGAGACATTTACTACAGCGGTCCCCAACCTTCTTGACGCTAGGCACCAGTTTCATGGAAGACTCTTTTTCCACAGACCAGGGCAAGGGATGGTTTCAGGATGAAACTCTTCCACCTCGGATCATTAGGCACTAGATTCTCATAAGGAGCACGCAATCTAGATCACTTTCACGCACACTTCACAACAGGGTTCACGCTCTGTGAGAATCCAGTGCCACTGCTGATCTGAGAGGAGACGGAGCTCAGGCAGTGACGCTCACTCCTGCACTGATCACCTCCTGCTGTGCAGCACAATTCCTAACAGGCCACGGACTGTTGGGGTTGAGGACCCCTGGTTTAATATATTCAACAAACTGTATACTGATAATGCATGATTTTTGAGCAGTTACTCATTTTTCTTTTCAATAGATCTGACGCTCAGACTGATAGGTCTACTCGGAGCTGGCACTTATTTGGAAATGAAATCAGTCTTCATCATGCAGGGTCCTACTAAGAACTGACACTGAGTTTGGCCACTCTCAAATGACTATCTTACCCATTTTCCATGAAATTTTCAGGGCTAGATTTTTTTTTTCTTTATCCCTGTTGGTGGGAATTTAAGAGTTTCTTTATTTAAGTGTTCCAAATCCTATGTCTAGGCATTGCATGAGAATAAATTACTATGAAAAAAAATAAAAAATAAAACATCGTGAAGAAGAAAAGAGTTCTTATTTGTGAATAAACTGTCAAATTATATAACTGGAAAATGAAGAAAATAAGAAAACTGTTCTTCAATTGTCATATTAATCAACCAACAGAAGTAAAATTCTTATAATGAGCGAACTTAAAAATAATTATGTAGTTAAATTTTTTAATTAATAAAATGCTTATAAAAGTCATATAATTAGTATATCAGTATTTCCCATAAAGTTGAATGCACGAAATGAACTCAGGAGTCCTTTTGAAATTTCAGTGTGCACACTAACCACCCGGGTATCTTGTTAAAATGCAGATTTGACTTCAGTAGGTCTGGGGTGAGTCTAAGAATCTGCATTTCTAACAAACTTTTCATGAGAGACCATACTTTGAGTTTAAAGGAACTAGTGACTAATGATTGAATTGGAAATAAATCAAAACCAGCAATATGCCAATTTGTTTTAATAATATTGATTTAGATGCTAGATGATGGCTTAACATTATATAAATATTTTAATATATGTCCTATCATGTTGCTTCACAAATGTTACTACTTCTTCATTTACATTCCCCCACATTCAAACCTCCCAGCATACAATTGCCCTAATTATTCCCCACAGTTAGATTCCTTTCTGTGGGAAAACCAGGCTCATCGAGACTTGCTTGTATTTTCCCTTTTACCCACCAGCAAAATTAGCACTCCATAAAAACTTAACTTGTTCTCTTCTCAGAAATCATTGCTCATTTTTTATGGGCACAGAAACCTCTAGGTTTAATATCAACTTCCCTCTGAACGACTGAGAAAAGAAAAGGAAAATGAATAGATCTATGTTGGAGGGGACAGGAAGGTTTTCTTACTGCAATCTTTGTCATCATTCATTGATGCATTATTCAGTTAACAATTACATATCGATCTGTACCTCAGCCCTGTATCATTCAAACCCACGATACCACTTTATGGCAGAGTGTGTGCTGCTGAGTCAGGTGGTCCAGGGTCAGGGTTCAGACTATACAAGGAATTGATAGTCATTACTTGGAAAAATACCTTCACCTTCTGAAGTCTTAACTTCCTCATCAGTAGAACAAAAGAACAAACTTCTGAATTTTGTTTTTGTTTTGTTTTATTGAGGTTTAAATGACACAATGGATGACATCATGTCATGTCAAAATGAGCATTTTGCACCGTGCCTGGCATATAGTAATCATTTTAAAACATTAGCTATTGTTATCATTGGAAAGCCTACACTGAGGTGGCCTCATGGGAGAGAGAAAAATAAATGACACATTATATCCAGACCACAGCCTCTAATGAGAACAGCAGCTTGTCTTTAAGGGTAGTTTTTGTTTTTTTGGTTTTTTTTTTGAGATGGAATCTTGCCCTGTCACCCAAGCTGCAGTGCAGTGGTGTGATCTCGACTCACTGCAACCTCCGCCTCCCAGGTTCAAGCAATTCTCCTGCCCTCGTTTTATAAACACAACTTGGTACAATTTAAATGACTTATGCAAAGTAGACAATTGATAAATGTTGGCAGCAAATTTAACCTCAGAGAATAGTGTGAAATAATAATTTTCAGAGAATGTGTAATGATAATGGTGATGATGATTCTTTGTTTCTACATGAATGAATTCCAGTGTTTATTGGAGATGAGAGAACTTCACATCATATATGCTGTCATCTAATTTGAAATTATGTCTCCTACATCAATGATACCCATACTCAAAGAGCAGTTTGCAGTCAGTCATTTAACTTTATTTTAATTGTTGTGGGGATAGTGCCAAGGCATCAAGTGTCTAAGAACAGATGTGAGAAGAAATTCAGGAGCAATGTCCTATGCGAGGAAGTATTCAGTGCTTTAGGAATTGGTCACGGGTCCAAATCTTGGTTCTACTGTCTACTAGTCACATGACCTCATGCAAGATCCTTAATTTCTCTGTACTTGAGTCTTTCCCATGTGTAAAATAAGGATAATCAGTAATAATCCCCATATTATGCCCCGTTGTAAGGATTAACTGAGGAAGTGCATGATTAGATTACTTCGTAATGAGGGAGACTAGCAAGTACTTAGATTGCACCAATTGCCAGGAAGGAGCTCAATCAATGTCAACATTTGAGTAACTATAATTCCTAATTTTTCCAGAGACAGTACAGGAAACAGAATTCAAGTATCTTCCTTGCTAATTTAAAACTGCGCACTAAGCATTTTTGTTACTTACCCAAACAACACATCACCTATGCATTTTATCATGCATATATTTTATAATCACATCTGCATGTAGGTAGATGGCAGATTGTGGACATATGCTCTTATGAAAATAATAAATTTTGTTACTTTCACTTGTAAATAACACACTATTACAATGCTTACCAAAAAATAACTTCCAAAGGATATGAAAAATATCAAATTATTTGAATTTATTGAGAAAAATTTAGGTATTATACCAGATAAACTCCTTCAGAAACAACAGTGAAAGTTTTACATTTTGAAAGGAAATGTTTTAAGCAAATAATGTTGTTAAAGAGCAGCAAATACCCCTTTTTCCCGTGATGAGCCATAGCCTCTAAGATCTCAAATTTCTCCTTCGACCTTTTCAGTTTCAGTGTAGTAATTTTGCCTGTGACAAGATTTGAGTATTTTATCACTTATATATATATTATGACTATTAGAATGTTAATTTTATTTTAACTATGCTATTTAAAAGTCTTGCTCCATGCTTCAAGTGATTCATTTTTAACTTCATTTTTATCTGATTATATAAGGAACATATGTTCATTGTAGAACATATGGAGAAAATAAAAAAGCCAATAGAAGAAAATAAAAACCTGCATGCAGCTTATTTTTCAACCTATCCTGGAACATTCTTTTAACATTTTTGAAGTTAGCAAATATAATTTTAGATTTATAATAATTCACTTTAAATTCACTTTTGGGAGGGAACACAATTATAGGCATTCCATATGGTGTCGTATGCCTCTTCTTTGGATTAATTTGTAGTGTGCTCCTAAAAAAAAATGTGTTTATAAGTTGCCCACTGGAAACCCAGACTAACATGGCATTGTAAGAAAAGTAGACCGTGTCTGCCCCAGACTCTTCCCTGAACTAGCTTTATAAACTTAAGGCAGTCATATTTCTTTTGATCTCCTTACATTAAATTTTTTCCATTATAAATTGAAGGGGCAGGTCTAGATAATGTTTAGGTGAGTAATAAGATTTCATTATTCTATGAATTTCAAATTCTCCAAGTGTCTTTGCATCAAAAAATCTTGAAAAAGAAAGTGCAACTTTTTGTGGCATTTCTACCACAAAGGGATTTATATTTGGAATAAGATTGGTATGTCTGTGCCTGAGTTTAAAAGAATAAATCTTGTTTTTATTACCTGATATATTAACTGATTAAGAAAACACTAGGTAATCCATACCAAAACGAAGTTAGTCTCCTTGAATTGAATTTCCATTTTACAGATGATGGCTCTGAAGCCCAGAAAGGTTAGGTCACATGGCTTGAAATAGAAATGCCCCTTAGGAGCATTGACACAAATAGTTTGTGAGAAAAATGACAGGACAATAAAAGAAGAACCTTCCTGCCCTATTTTTTTTAAAACCTCAAGTGATTCTTTATATGCATACGGTGTGCCAGAGGCTGGCCATGAGTTTTTCTATTAAAATTGCATACAATTTATAGGAACCCAAGTGATGTAACAGAATAATGTCATCTGTTTTGTTTTTTTAAAGCCTTCTTCTTCTTCTCTCCTTCTCCTTCTCTTTCTTCTTCTTCATAGAGACAGGGTCTTACCATGTTGCTCAGCCTGGTCTCAAACTCCTGGGCTCAAGCAATCCTCCTGCCTTAGCCTCCCAAAGTGCTGGGATTACAGGCATTAGATACCGCACCTGGCCCCAGGATAATGTCAGATGAACTTACTACATAAAGAGGGAGAAAAATCTCAGCCCCAAGACCAAAACAGACTTTCTGTGCAGCTTTAGATAAGTCAATTAAGCTTTTTGTGATTTTTCTCATCTTTATCATTTCAATACCATATCCTCCATAATCTACATTGTGCGGCTGTTGTGAAGATTAAATGAGAAACTGAAAAGAAGGTTCTTGAAAAAAAGAACACATTTTACAAATGAAGGAAGATTAAGTTAGAAGGAAGTTCTAAGTAGAAAGGGAAAGAGAAGGAGTAGATGTCAGAGAGAATGAGGCTTGACTTCCTCATCTGTAAAACAAACAAACAAAAAATCGGATTTACTTTAGAGTAGTATTTCACTCAGAGACCAAATTCTCAGTTACTGTAGAATTCCATGTAAACGGATTTATCACAGAGTGCTTTGTCTCATTTGTTGGCATTTATGAACTATCTTTAGAGCATTGCTTTTCTGAATCTAAGTGTGTAATAAAATATGAACAGACTTTTCTAATTTCCAAATGTGCATGATTTTTTTATATTGACACGAAACATTTGTTAGACACACATTTTCACATTTTAAGTGGTCCAAAATGATTGCATTAGAAATTCATGCACATAAACCATTGAGTGTGTGAGAAATATTCATGAGAAAATAGAGAACAATGAGAAAATGTGATTCTCAGAATCACATCTATCCCAAGTTTAATGACATTACATTCAAGTTACCGATCTATGGGGGAATATCCACAGGGTTTAGAAAGTGTGATAGAGATTAGATCCTGGAACAAAAGCACAAAACAATGCATTCATGTTGTACACTGACACGATTTAGGGAAAAAATGGTCATTTCTGTGTGGCTGCAAAGTAGCTGACTGTTTCACTCTTCATTTGATTTCTCAAAATCTTTGGGTGGCTAAGAGTTCTTGTTAAATACATATATGTCTTCTACTTTATTGAATCAGTATATTAAAAAAAAAAATAGCCATGATTCCATTTGCAGTGTTGCTTGTAGGCCCAGGGCAAGGGGCCTGTGCCTTTAGAGTGGCGCTGTCCAGTTGAACTGCCTGTAATGATGGACATATTCTGTAATCTGTCCTGTATAATACAATAGCCACTAGCCACATGTGAATCCTGAGCACTTGAAATGTAACTAGTGCAACTGTAGAGCTGAATTTCTAACTTTATTTACATGTAAGTAGCACATGTGGCTAGCGGCCACTTTGTTGGACAGCACAGCTTTACACGGCCCCACTCTAGTCTTTTCTGTGGAAGCTAATGGGCCCTTGTCTACCAGGGGTCCCTAACAATGCTTTTAAACCATGCCCTAGATTCCTCGAACCCCAGAATTCTCTCCCCAAAGGGGCCAAGTCTACTTTCGGGCCTGTGAAGCCTCTTATCCACCATATGAGAAAGGGTTGCACACCCTTGGTATGTACACCGCTAGCTCTGAGGAGTGGCCAAGGGATAGTATTTGTGGAGGTGAAGGTATGGAAGAGCTTAGACGTGTGGGCTGGGGTGCCCATGTGTGAGCACACGGCCCCTCATGATAGAAGATGGAGCCAGTAATGGCAAAAGAAGGGACGGGGGGTCGGGCCCAGCTTTCCCTTTGTCTTCATGTTTCAGCGTGAAATGGCAAGGAGCGTGAGATTAAATTTTAAGTCAATTCAGGAACAGTTGGTATCTACAAACTGAGCCTCTCAATTATTATTCTACTGTCTTTTTTCAATAGAGTCATCCCATGATACTTTCTCCTATGTGTTGCTTTTGTGAATGGAATCTGGTGAGAGAGGGGTGGTTATTGCTGGTGTTTGTGGAAATTACTGATTCTGCCATGTGTATCTTTTTTGAACTCTTTTGAACCCTCTCAGTTCTGATAGTTTGCCATATAATTCTCTTGGACATTCTTGGTAGAATATCCACAAATAATGAGAATTTTGTCTTTTTAAATAATTGATTACATATCAATTCCATTTCTTGCCCTTTTCCCCTCTCTTTGCATGGCTTACAACCTCCAATAAAGTGTTGAAGATTAGTGGTGAATAGGCATCCTTTTCTTGTTCTCGACTTTAATGGGGTTGTGTCTAGTATTTCAGCAGTAAATATGATCCTTGCTTAAATATGTTTCTGGTAAGTCTCTATGGTGGACCTATTCTAAAATGACCTCCTCTTCCCTCCCACACACACAAGTCACACTTTTGTATCATCTCTATCCCTTAAATATGGTGGAAACTGTGACTTACTTCTAACTAAGAGAATATGACAAATATGATGAGCTGTTTCTCCTATGATTATGTTACATTATATAAAATTTCCTCTTATCAGACTATGGAGGGAAAAATTCTCCCGCTGGCCTTGAAGATGCAAAGTTGTGAACTGCCAGTATAGAGGGCCACATGGTGGGGGCTGCAGGCAGCTTCTAGGACAAGAGGGAAGCCTGCAGCCTCCAGTCAACAAGAAGCTGAGGTCCTCAGACTTACAACAGCAAGGCACTGAATTCTGCCAACAACCTGAATGAGCTTGGAAGCAGATCCTTCCCTAGCGGAGCTTCCAAACGAGAACCCAGCCTTGCCCACAGTGGATTGCAGCCTTATGATACCCCAAGCAGAGGACCCAGTGAAGCTGTCCAGACTCCTGATCCATGCAAACTATGATATGTATTTCTTCCCATGGCTAAATTTATGATAATTTAGTAGAGTAGCAATAGAATACTAATACAGTCAGTGTCCTTTCTCAAATTAATGGAATTTTCTATTATTGCTATTCCGCTAAGATTATTTTTCTTTTTAAAGCAAGGATGGCTATTGAGTTCTTATTAGACATCTTTTTTACTTTTAATTTTACTTTACTTTCAGGTTAGAAGTCTGCAAACATTTTTCGAAAAGGGCTAGGTAGTAAGTATTTTCGGCCTGCAGGCCATTCAGCCTCTGTCAAAACTACATAATTCTTCTATTGTAGCACAGAAGCAACCGTGGTCAATTTGTAAATGAGTGAGCATTCCTGTGTTCCAGTAAACTTTATTTACAACAAAGGTGGCTGTCTATCCAGATTTGGCCCATAGGCCTTAGTTTGCTGACTTTAGATTGAGATTAGCATATTATTTTTTCTCTCCTGACTTGTTAAATGAGGTATGTTTCTGGCTTTTCTAATATTGAACCACTCTTACTTTGCTGGGGTAAATTGTACTTAGAAATGATTTTTAATGCACTGCCGGATTCAACTTGTTAACATTTTATTTAGGAGTTTAGAATTTATATTTATAAGTAATATTGGCTTATAGTTCCCTGACATTTTGCCTATGTTCAATTCAGTGTTATTTTAACATCATAAAATGACCTGGATAGTTTTTCAGCTTTTCCTACATTATAGAAACATGCATGCAACATGGGAATTATATATTCCTCAAAGGCTTTGTAGAAACCTTTTTTTTTTTTTTGCAACTTTTTTCTAAAATCAATTAATTTGGTTTTTATTTGGGTGATGTGGGGGATTGGCTGTCTTTTATTTTAGGCTTCTAATGTATTATATCACAATTTATTAATATTTTCTTTTTAGCCTAATGCGGTCAATTTTGAGATAGCTCCATATATATTTGAGAGAGACGTATTTTTCCTGCGTCTTGGGTTTAAATTCTCCTTCTACATATCCATCGGCTTATAAGCCACATTTTATAAAATGTGGTATTCAGATCCCTTAGATTCTTGCTTTTTCTTTTGTCTACTATTTCCATTTTTTTTTTTTAAGGAACCAGATAATCTGTAAAAATTATTTAATTTCTCTGTATGGATATATGTAATTTTTTAACAATAAATACCATGGTGATCAGAAAACAACTCAGGGAATATAACAGGTAGTGAATTGTAGCCTCTTCTCTTATATTAATAACTCAGATACACTGAAAATTTGTGTACATTGAACCCATTGAAAAGAAATATCTCCTATAAAGTGAAATGAAGACCATTAAAATCCTGGTTGTTGTTAGAGGCATGTATAGCTCTTCCAACTGGCAGCTTGGTCTGAAAGGATTTAAGAGTTGTTTATTAATAATACAGCTAAATCGTTACCTACTTTACTCACTTTTATTTATTGAAACATGGCACATGCACATTGTGGTTCAACCCCTATGGGAGTAACACTTTGTTTTAATTACTTATTCCAAAGTTAGAAAAATAATACCTAGATTTCATATTATGAACATGAAATGAATCTACCTCACACCAGTCTGCAAATGCGTCCGTGTTGTTGCACAGTTTCCTGTAAAAGCGTTTCACATCTTGATCCTTCACATCTGGACCAAAGAGCTTCTGTACTGATGCATAAAACTTGTCATAATCAATTGCATCTGCATTGAAAAAAGTACAGTTCATTTTCATCAAATTCCAAGGACTACCTTTTGTATGTCAGCTATAATTTTTGTTTCCTAACCTTCTATTTTCTTATCTCAATCTATAAAAACCGGATTTATTTGCATTTTAAGGACCTTGTCTTTGCACAATACTAAGCAAAAAGAACAAAGTTGGAGGCATCATACTACCTGACTTCAAACTATATTACAAGGCTGGAGTAACTCAAAGCATAGTACTGGTGCAAGAATACACACAAAGACCAATGGAACAGAATAGAGAACCCAAAAATAAGACCACACACCTACAACCATCTGATTTTCTACAAACCTGACGAAAACAAGAAATGGGGAAAGGATTCCCTATTTAACAAATGATGCTGGGAGGACTGGATAGCCATATGTAGAAAATTGAAACTGGACCCCTTCCTTATACCATTTACAAAAATCAACTCAAGATGGATTAAAGGCTTAAATGTAAAACCCAAAACTATAAAAACTCTAGAAGAAAATCAGGCAATATCATTCAGGACAGAGACATAGGCAAATATTTCATGATGAAGATACCAAAAGCAATTGCAACAAAAGCAAAAATAGACAAATGGGATCTAATTAAACTTAAGAGCTTCTGCACAGCAAAAGAAACTATGATCGGAGTGAACAGACAACCTACAGAATGGGAGAAAATTTTTGCAATCTATCCATCTGACAAAGGTCTGCTATCCAGAATCTACAAGGAACGTAAGCAAATTTACAAGAAAAAAAAACGAACAACCCCATTAAAAAGTGGGCAAAGGACATGAACAAACACTTCTCAAATAAGACATTCATGTGGCCAACAAACATATGAAAAAAAGCTCATCATCACTGGTCATTACACAAATGCAAATCAAAATCACAATGAGATAACATCTCCTATCAGTCAGAATGGCTACTATTGAAAAGTCAAAATACAACAGATGTTGGTGAGGTTGGGGAGAAAAAGGAAGGCTTTTACATTGTTGATGGGAGTGTAAATTAGTTCAACCATTGTGGAAGACAGTGTGGCAATTCCTCGAAGACTTAGAGGCAGAAATACCATTTGACCCAGCAATCGCATTACTGACTATATACCCAAAGGTACATAAATCATTCTATTATAAAGATACATGCATGCATATGCACATTGCAGCACTGTTCCCAATAGCAACGATATGGAATCAATACAAATGCCCGTTAATGATAGACTGGATAAAGAAAATGTGGTATATACATACCATGGAATACTATGCAGCCATGAAAAGGAAGGAGATCATGTCCTTTACAGGGACATGGATGGAGCTGGAGGCCATTATCTTTAGCAAACTAATGCAGGAACAGAAAACCAAATACCACATGTTCTCACTTATATGTAAGAGCTGAATGATGAGAACACAAGGACACATGGTGGCTAACAACACCCATTAGGGCCTGTCATAGGGTTGTGGGGGTGTGGAGGGAGAGCAAGAGGAAGAATAGCTAATGGATGTTGGGCTTGATACCTGGGTGATGGGATCATCTGTGTGGCAAACCACCATGGCACACGTTTACCTATGTAACAAAGCTGCACATCCTGCACACGTACCCCTGAACTTAAAAGAAAAAAAAAAAAAAGATCTTGTCTTTGCAAACATAACCAGGCCTTTGGCTAAAGTATTACTAAATAAAAAGAAATATTTTGCTATTGCGTTTGATACATTCTCCATGATTTCTGTTTAAGATATTTTAGGAGTTTTGTTCAGGAATGCAAACAGTTTCACCATTGGAGTCTTTGCTAGAATTCATCTTGAGTGGAAGGTGGAAGTGAGCAAATAGCAATTCTTTTATTTTATTTTTTTAATTTTTTGAGACAGGGTCTTGCTCTGTCACTAAGGCTGGAGTGCAGTGGTGCCATCATGACTCACTGCAGCTTTTACCTCCCGGGATCAAGTGATCCTCCCAGCTCAACCCCCCAAGTAGCTGGGACTACAGGCACGCACCACCACGCCCAGCTAATATTTTATTTTTTGTAGAGACAGAGTCTCACTATGTTGCCCAGGCTGGTCTCAGACTCCCAGCTTCAAGCGATCCTCCCACTTCAGCCTCCCAAAGTTCTGGGATTACAGGTGTGAAGCCACTGTGCCTGGCAAGCAATTCTTAACTGGTTCTTGAACTCCATGTAAACACACACACACACACACACACACACACACACACCCCTCATTGCTTGAATCTTGATTTTGTCAAATTTGGTGATTCCGTGGGGTAAGACTATTGAATCTAAGGACAAGAAGGAATTAGATGTGAGGCTTTCTCAAACTGAATAGAGAAGATCAGATGGTTTTATTTAGTTAAAAATATAACTAGTATCTCTTATGTGTAAGAACTGAGCCAGACATTGGGCTTAGAACAGAAAATTAGATAAGCAAGATCCCTGCCCTCAGGAAGCTTATATTATAGTGGGAAATCAGAAAAGTAACAAGTGAACAAACTTTTTACAGATTGTGACAGGCAAGGCTAATTAATAAAGATAGACATTACATGAGTGGTTACCTGTGTATATGGGGAAAAGCAGTATTGCTGCAAGAGGGCATGAGGAAACTTTCTGGGATGCTAGAAATGTTCCCTATCTTGATCTGGATGGTGGCTAAAGGTGTGTTTACCAAGGTTCAGATTTACAGAGCTACCTCCTTAAGAAGAGTACATTTTATGGGCTTTATTGTACGTATGTCAAGCTCAGTAACACAGTTAAAATAAACAAGTTGTCATAGAATAAGCACATAAGAGGAAAGCAGTATGGAACTGTGGGTGTATGGTGGTGGCAGGTTGGGGTAGACCTCGGGGAAGGCCTCTCTAAGGAGGTGGGTAAAAGAGTTAAGCTGAGACCTGATGAGCAAAAAAAAAAGTCAGCCACATAGAAAGCTAGACAAAAGCCTTTTAGGCATAGGCTGATCAACACGAGGGCCTGTTGTTGCTGCACAGGCTTAGCATGTTCCAAGAAGGTCAGTAGCTACGAAGTACCTACAGTGAGGACTGCGGAAAGTGCTGAGGTGAGACTAGGGGCCAAGGAGGGCAGAGCTAGAGTCAGAAGCTGGTATTTTCTTTTAAGCATGATGGTAAGATGTCATTGGGGTGTTTTATGGGGCGAAATGATACAATATGCCTTTAAAAAATTTTAAAGCACACTGGCTGCTGCAAGGAGGCCAGATGGAAAGACATAAAACTAGTAGAGGGTAATTGCATTAGTGTAGGCTTCAGAAATTGGAGGTTTGGGCCAGGATAACACTGAGGGTGAATGCACATCTGGGCTGCCATGGAAAGTCTCATTTATGCCTCTTTTTAAAATTATTAATAACACTCCCTTTCAATCTTGAAAGTGTCCCCAGTTGGATGGTAAGTGGCACCCGAGGATACAGGCACCCTAGAGATAGTAGTGGAGATGGTAAGATATGGTTGGAAGTAGTAGAATAGTAAAGATATGCTAATGGTTTGGAAGTTTTGGGGGCAGAAGTGGTAAGTGAAGGAAAGGCAGGAATCTAGAGCAGTGGTTCTTATCCAGGGGAGACTTTGCACCTCACCTCCATCCCCAGACACACACACACACACACACAACATTTGGCAAAGACTGGAGACATTTTTGACTGTCACAACTAGGATTAGGTGTGCTACTGGCATCTAATGAGTAGAGGCCAAGGATGCTGCTTAACATCCTACAGTGCACAAGACAGCCCCCACCCTACCCCCGCAACTCCACACATGCACACATACACAACTAACTATTTAGCCAAAACATCAATAGTGCCAAGGTTAAGATACCTGGTTCTAGAATGACACTCAGGTTTCCGGTTTCAAATCTCAGCAAATGTTGGTCTATTTACCAAAAGCAGGGCAATGGGAAAAAGATTGTTGGGGAAAATAAAGCACTCTATTTTGGTAATACTGAGTCAGAAATTCTTATGAGGCATCTAAACAGTTACTTAGCTGCTTTATATTTATTTACACCAACTTGTACAATATATGAGTTTCATTGTAAATATCACTGGATGAGGACAATGAGACTTTTTTGTCCTGGGATAAAATTAATTCCACCAGGTCATTCATAAGATCTAAGGGCATTACTTTTGAACAAATTCCTTCAATCTACGTGACATCGTTTCTGAGGTAGACCGTGTTCCATTAAAAACACGCTCTCTAGTTCTTAGTTCCTTGCCTGTAATAGTGAGAGGTAGACTTTATTTTCCAATATTTGTTAATAAATATGAATTTGTGGCAGACAGTATTAACAGCCTGACAAAAGTTAAGATTACAGTTCTCCCTTCTCCTCACTGTTTCTTAGGCCACTCTGTGATAGAAGGTAACTTGTCTAGCAGTATGTAGTTTTCATCAAATCTTAACAACTATAGAGAAAGGAAATTTTCAATGTGGCTTTGTGATTGCAAGTTTCTTAATGAGAGCAAAGTCAACTTATGCATTTAGAACACATTGAAGGAGTACCTTCTGGACACCAGACCCTGTGCCAGCCTGAGGTTCACAAACCTTCACAACAACCACAGGCCAATGATGGAGGAGAAGGGGCAGGAACGAATGAACACATTAATATCAATTTCAGCAGGTTAAATGCAGCAGTTAAGTTCCCTAAGATGGCAATAAAGTGCATTAACAGTACTGAGGATGGCTTTGCTTAGGGAAAGTTTGGAAGTTTTTACAAAGAGGTGACATTTGACTTGGGTCTTGAAAGATGAGCAAGAGTTTACAGGCACCAAAAAAAAAAAAAAAAAAAAAAAAGCACTCCATATTGGGGAATGGCATGCGCAAAATCAGAGTCATTAAGAGCATGTTTGGGCCGGGCGCGGTGGCTCACGCCTGTAATCCCAGCACTTTGGGAGGCCGAGGTGGATGGATCACCTGAGGTCAGGAGTTCAAGACCAGCCTGACCAACATGGAGAAACCCTGTCTCTACTAAAAATACAAAACATTAGCCAGGCATGGTGGCACATGCCTGT